AGATGCCAAGGCGCAGACGTGGGGGCCCGATCCGTGGTGCCAAGGCGCAGGCGCCCGATCCGAGGTGCCAAGGCGCAGGCGTACGATCCGGGGTGCCCGGCTTCCTGATTGGCCGGGAAGCTGGCTTCATGCTCCGTCACTTGTGACGAGAGCATGGAGCCAATCACCTCATGACGAGAGAGCATGGAGCCGACTTCCTGTCCAATCAGGAGGCCGGGCGCCACGTCATTACACCGTGCCCGGCTTCCAGGATTGGCCAGTAAGCCTGGGGACAGCTTCCTTGTTAATTGGAAAGCCGGGCTGGGAGTCATTACACGCCGCCTGGCTTCCTGAATGGGACTTCCGATACTCGGTATCAGCGAGTCCTGGAAAAAAACATCGGTACTCGGTACCGAAATACCGGTACATCCCTAATATATCTATATATAGATCTATATGTATATATAGATCTATATATATGGGATGTCCCAATACCACTTTTTCAGGACCAAGTACAAGTACTTCCCCTCATGTACTTGCCGATACCAATTACCGATACTTTTTTTTTTAACGGGACAGGTGACTATAAATGATCCATAGTACAACTACATGTTACGTACTATTATGTACTATGGATCATGATTTAACCTATTCATGTTAGCAGGGGAGAATTGTAACTCTATTGCTGGAGTGTAGTGGAGGTGTGTGCTGTATATATGTACTACATATACACTATACACATCCAGTACACTATAGCAATAGATTTACAGCCAGCCCCGTCCCAGCTTCCCTCACTCACAGTTTCACTCCGATCCCTGTTGCCTCACGTGGTACCTGTCGTAGTCGGCGCTGGACGGGATCGCTGCATCGCGTCTCGGTGCTCAGCTTGTGGGAGGCACTCACAATTCTGCCCTGCTAACATGAATAGGTTAAATCATGATCCATAGTACATAATAGTACGTAACATGTAGTTGTACTACGGATCATTTAACCCATTCAGATTAGCAGAGGATCATTGTAAATCTACTGCTGCAGTGCATTCTTTATGTACTGTATATGTGCTACATATAGAATGCACTGCAGCAGTAAATTTACAATTCTGACCTGCGAACATGAATGGGTTAAATGATCCGTAGTACAACTACATCTTATGTACTACGGATCATTTAACCCCTTCATATTAGCAGAGGATAATTGTAAATCTACTGCTGCAGTGCATGGAATTGCATGCGGTACCTTCTATTAATCTAAATAAAACACAAACAAACTTTCTTGGAATAAAATGGCCGCGGCACTTTTATTGGTTTAAAACTTATTTGAAATAATCCAACCGATAATAACTCTTAAAACCAAAACGTCATTGCTCAGTCATCAAAACTCGAGCAATATCCAATTACCATAACCATACTTAAAGTCCCCCTCCTTTGGAGGTGACACCACCGCATAAAAGTCCTGCCACATATATTATACATAAAGGGCGGGGGGGGGAGCTTGCTGTGTTGAAGTCCAGCCGAGTGAGGATTTCCCGCCGAAAAACTCGCAAGGTGAGTCTTAAAGGGGAAACGCACCTACATTTTTTGAGGATATATATATAAGGGATGCACCGATATATCGGCCGCGGAAACATATCGGCAGAAAATGGCACTTTTGGCATAATGCCGAAAGAGCCATGTTTCGGCCGATACATCGGGTCATCCCTGGTTTCTTTTCTCCCCGCTGGGCGCTGTTCCAGTGGGGAGAAAAGAAAGTGACAGCCGCCGAGCGCTGCAGGAGTCAGGACGAGAGCGCTGTGAGCTGCGGCATCTCTCCTCCCACACCACTCAGCCGCCTATCACAGTCCGGCAGAGCGGTGTGTGGGCGGAGACATCGCTGTCACAGGAGGCTGGGCTTTCCTCTCTACACGGCTCGATCAGCCTCCTGTGACAGCGTGTCAGAGAGAAAAGCAAGATACACACACTCAGCGATCAGTGATCGCTGAGTGTGTGTACATAATTGAGAATATGGCATGTTAACTATATCCTCAATTATGAATGAATGGGAGTGATCTACATCACCCCCATTCATTCATAATTGTAGTTATAGTAAACAAGCAATGTACTCATGTTATCAATGAACAGGAACACTCATAGAGGATTCCTGTTCATTGATAACAGGGGACACAGAAAAAGAGATTGAGGACTCTGTGTTCTCAATCTCTTTTTCTATTTTAAAAGGGAAATATCAGGGGTCTGTTTAGACCCCTAATATTTCCCCAAAGCCCCTAAAAGTAAAGTAAAAAATAAAAATATTTAATAAAAAATGAATAAATAAATCTAAAAAAATGTAAACGTTTATAAAATAAAAATAAAAAACATTTTCGGTTTCGGCCTGACTTTTTTAATTTCGGTTTTAAAAATTCCATTTCAGTGCACCTCTAATATATATATATATATTTTTTTTTTTTAAACATAAAGATATAACACTTTTATTATACATTGAGCAAGCTTGAATCGAGGCTAAATCCGCTCCAAAAAGGGTCCTGCTGTAGCGACACACGACCCGCGACAGCAGGACCCTTTGCCCCATTGAAATGCATTGGAGCGCGGTAATTTGGCGCGATATCGCGGGAATTACCGCGCGATAAATCGCTCAATGTGAACGGGGCTTTACTCACTGTTGCCTCATGATTTTCCATGATTTTCCTCACACGCAAGGACGTCGTCGGCGCTGAGCTGGAGAGGAGCGTCGCGTCACTGCTGCTCCGGTGGGCGCGCTCCAGGTGGGGGTCCTAATTTAGGTGACCGTTGCCTGCCTGGAGCGCCACCCACCGGAGCAGCAGTCACGCAACGCTCGGCGCGAAGCGGTAAAGTAAACAAAAAATAGCGCAAGCTTCGGCGCTTTGTATCGGGGCATTTTGAGAAGTACTTGTCAAAATGCCCTGTATCGGTCCCGATACCGATGCTAGTACCGGTATCGGGACATCCCTAATAGATATATATAGATAGATAGATAGATAGATAGATAGATAGATACACCTTTACCAGGTTATTTCACAGTGTAGTAACCTGCAACCACATTGATATGCATATTTCTGACCAATAGAGGGCACACGTTTGCAAAATATGACCTGTGAAAGGATCCAGTGAAGTGAAGGGCACGTCGCTCTGCACTCAGTCCCACACCAATAATGATCATACAATGCTATGTAATAAGATAATAGGCTGTCTTATTGTAGAAACAACGTACGAAACAAAAGCCACTCACCCGGGCTACTATGACTCTCAATCCCTGAACAAATCTCATAGCGCTTGCTGATGCGACTGACATCTGCGTCCCCCGGAAACACTTTCTAAGACAACACGGTTCCTTCTTTCGGAAACAACTGTTCACATTAACCCTTTTCAGTGCTCTCTGGGGAGGGAACAGCAGTGCACTGGCGTTCTATAATACTAGAAATGTTATGTAGCCTGTGGTGTACTGTGCTCTATAGTGATGTGTGGGAGCAGTGTATTGTGCATCAACATTTCTAAACTAGGAAAGAGTCCCCTCCACCTAATAAATACACAATTAAGCCTTGTTTACACAGTGGTCGATATATGATGAAGTATGTCTTTTTTAGGGCCTTGTTCAGATGGATGGCAGGCTCCACCGCCCCTTTGAAAAGTTTTTCAGAGGGTGCTATATCAGCGGCTGCCTGGTATTTGAGCCCCCAGTCACACCGTAACATCACAGAAACACGTATCGCAGTGACACACGTTCGTGGGCATTTGTTTGTCGCTTTGGCATGAGTCACTGTTGATTTCAATATGTTACTGGATGCTCACCAAATGCAGGAAAGTAGTGCATGTAGCACATTTTTTGACGTGTTTTGCATGTGAACACGTTTGCTTGGCTGCATTTGTTATGCCATTACGTAGTAATGGCACTGCAAGAACGCCCCGGGTTTGTGCACGTGAACGTGCGACAAAGCGTGCACTTTTGTGCTTGTTTGATGCGCGTTCAAGATATGCTTCAGTGTGAACGGGGACGTATACTGTCATCTCCTGAATAATGTTTTCTTTTTTTCTTTTGATCCCAATGGGGATTCTCAATTGCAATACATTGATTGCAATGGTCACATTTGGCAAGTGGCACCCCCTGCCAAACACCACACGCTGTTTAAAATTTGCTGTGGCTGCAGGATGTATATCAGCTATTTTAGCTCTAAAGCTGGCCATACACCTATATATTATCTGCAGATTTTCTATGGTAAGACGGAAAAAGTGCAACAGAATCTTCCACTGCGCCAAGCTTCAGTATCCTGCTAGTGGGCCCCGCTGGCTCGAAAAATACCTGAACAATCTGATTGGATGCAGGCATTGTTCAGGTATTTTGACAGCCAGTGGGGCCGTCTAGCAAGATACTGAAGCTTGGCCCAGCAGGAGACTCCTCCATCCACATAGTTTAGCGTAGATGGAGGACTTTGTTGCACTTTTTCCATCTGACCACAGAAAATCTGCAGATAATCTATAGGTGTATGACCACCTTTAGTCCTCTTGTGGATTGACAACACAGAGCATTTTTATGGACTGAGTGTTGTCAGTCCTTCCACTGATGTATAACACATAAAGGCAGGGCCGGTGTTAGGATTTTTGCCTACACAGGCAAAGTTGCATTTTTGCGCCCCCAACCCCCTCCCCCCCTTAGCGCTGGGCCTGCTCCCTATCAGCATGTTTTTTTTTCTTCACTTACCTTCGGTGCGGGAGAGCAGCGGCGAGTCAGCGCTGGTCCGGTGGGAGGAGCTCCAGGTGGGGTCCTAATTTAGCTGGCCGGCGACTGCCAGAGGTGCCGCGCGTGTCGGGATCCTCTGGCAGTCGCTGGCCAGTTAAATTAGGACCCCACCTGGAGCTCCTCCCACTGGACCAGTGCTGACTCGCCGCTGCTCTCCCACACCGAAGGTAATTGAAAAAAAAAAAACATAGCGCAAGCATCGGAGCATTTTGACAAGTACAAGTACTTGTCAAAATGCCCTATTTTTTCCGCCCTCACCCTGCAGCGCCCTCAGGCAGCCGCTTGCCTTGCGGTAGCGCCGGGCCTGCATAAAGGGCTTGTTCACGTCATAATGTGCATAAAAACACATGGAAAAATGCAGGTGAGTTGATATGCATTGATAAGTGTTTGCATGCGTTTTTATGTAAGTTTCAATGTGTTTTTTGTATGTTGATAGTCTTGGCTGTGCTTTTTTTAAAATGTTTTTTCCTCTATTTCCAGTGTCATAACTTTCTTTTCCTTTTTATGGGTTGATTCTCCTTTCAGTTGCAGAGCATTTATTTGCATTTTACAGGTGTTCATGTGTGTTGCAAAAAATGCAAACATTCTGCATTTTTCTGCACCGGATTTGTGGTGTGAACGGGGCACAAATAGGAAACAATGCAGGTCTCTACACATGGTGTGAACCAGCCCTTGCCTAACACAGCTTTTCTCAAGCAGGGTGCCCCAACATTTTGTGGCAGTGGGAATGTGATAGTGAAGGGGGAACTCAGATTTGAAAGGGGGAGGACTCTGATATGAACGAGGGGCTTCTGATGTGAAAGGGGGGATACTGATCTAAAGGGTGACTCTGATCTGAAGGGGCACTTCGATGTGAAGGGGGAAACCCATTTTTTGTTTTGTGTGGGGTTCCCTTTAAATCTATGACATTTTTAGACTGGGGTGCCTCAAGATTTTGCATACTTTTAAATGGTGCTGTGGCAAGAAACACTGGCCAAATCCATCTGTAGTCCAAGTACTATGAAGGCTAAGAGAACACAAGAGTCTGCAGGGGACACAGGACAGCTCTGAATATCTGACAAGTACAACAGGTATTTTTTTGCACTTATCAAACAGACCAAAAGGGAGAAAATAAGAGAAGTTAATTGTTAGGGTTTACTTGGACTTGTGCATGTTATAGTGTGAACAAGTACTTAGAGAATGCAGCCAGAAAAAAGCTCCCCTCAGGAAACATTACAATGCCGGATACTATTTGAAAGTAAATCATTTAAAATGATGATGTGATTTATTTAGATAGGAGCAGATGGAAATTAGGTTGTCTGTGACGACAAATCAGTAGTTGTGGTTTTTTCTAATTTAGTTGAATGTGGCAATAAAAACCATGTGTGGTTACAAAAGTTAATGGCTTGTCCAGTTTTCACACTGCTATAAAGGGACTGAAGGTTTCATATAAAACACATGAGATGAAATGGGGTGATTTGATACAGCTGGGAGGGTGGAGGGTTTATAAGATACAAAGTTTCAGCTCAGAGTTGCCATTTAGAGAAGTAAAAAGACAAAAAAAAAAAATGCAGCAGGGTGTAGGGAACAAACCTGGGCCAAAGCCTGTCTTTACCTGCCCTACTACAGGGTGTAAGGCAACGTTCCGCAAAAAACTCAGACTGCAAGACCATATGACGAAACATACCGGACAGGTAAGGTAACTCCTAGGGGGCTAGAGAGAAAAGGTTTACTTTTAATACAAAGGTTTTTTTCCCTACATTTAACTAGAGGAGGGTATTTATAGTTGTAGGACAAATGCAGGAAGAAATTGGCATTTGTTTCCCCCTCAAAAGGGTGTGTGTGTGTGGTTTTTTTGTTTTGTTTGTTTTTTACTTATTTTATATAAATCTGTGTTTTTGAACATTGTTAAATTTGATGAACTGTCCACTTTCAGTCCTGCATAGACTCAGAAATGTACACTACAGCCAATGTATATTTACTGAATCTATTTTGGTCAAGCCTGTGTTCAAGGGGGCACATGTTGTGTCCTTCCACATTTATTTATTTTTTTCTAGTGCTTTTTTAAAGGACATTGCCAGGTTACATGTATGGGAGTTACTATTGCAGCTTTGTTTTTAAACCTGTAAGTTCTGTGGCTGTCCTCCTAAGGCTTCATTCACACTTGCCATTTGTGTTTTTATGCAGAGATCTGTCTGCAAAATCTGTCGGGCTAGGTGCTTTGTTTATGCTCTAGATGCTTAAATTGATGTGTTTACATGCATATATTTTTATTTTTTCCTTTTGTCTATTGAAACGGTCAATTTTAAAGTATCCCCTCAGTCTCTGCCCACAGATCCTCTCCTTTTTAGTTTCAGCAAGGAGCTGGGATTTCTTCAGCTCTCCCACACTAATATATGATCTGTGATTTCTCTCCTCCTGGCTTACCAAGGAGGGAGTGTGGGGGGAGATGCTTGTGAGGAGATTCATCATGTGAGCTGTCACCAGCCTCCTATTTCTTCTGAGTCTCAGCTCACATGCTGACTCTGGTCACAGAGGATACGTCTCCTACATTGGAAATAAAGTTGTTTTTCTGTGTAGATTGTTGTAAACTTGATGATTGTTATAGATTTGTTGTCAGTAGTCTTGATAATTCAGAGCATTGCAGAGGAGATTACAAGCAGTGACACTGTCACAGTGTGTAATTATAATGGTAAGACCTTATTCCAAAACCTAAATTTGGCTTTGTGTCACTTTAATATTAATGTAGAATATACAGATTGATTTCAATGTTGTATCATCGTCCCCAAAACCTTTCTGAACATATCCCAGGTGTGTTTTCTAGAGAAATTCTGTCTGCAACCATCAAGTTCCTAGTTTGTCACATCTGACCCTCCCATAGTCTCCATTCACAAATATCGTTTGAGTTTCGCGCATGGGACGCGAATGCTATATGTGAAACTGCACGGATTCCGCTCATTTGCGGCTGTATAGCCGCGAACCTGCGGAATTTGTAAAAACGTATTTATACTAATTTTGCAGGCTGCGTGGTTTTGTACCGTGTGGCCGCCACAAATGTCTGAACAATGCATGTTTTTCTGTTTTAAAGCACCTCTGCGCGTATTCGGAAGAATAGGTGTGGACAACCGCTCCTGTCTGAATGGAGCCTTAGTGTCCCTGCCACCTTATATTTCTACATGTCTAATTAAGGTGCATTGAAAGACAAATTTTATGTTCAGTTGTGAAAGTAGAGAAGGGTTAAAACCTTTTAAAGTGACACTAATATTAGGAGTTCAATCTTAAAAATACATTCAAGTACCCTAACTATTAACAGAAATGTATCTTATTTGTGTATCACTCGGTTGTAGATCCTCAAATCATCATTGGTGCCGACACTGTCCCTCCTTCTGGAGGGTGGCTACTTTTGTTCCCCATGGTCATTGTGTGTGTTGTTCCCCATGGTCATTGTGTGTGTTGTAAAGTAGCCACTGCTCCAAGTTCACTTCCATGATGGACTACAATCCCAATACAAATTGGTAAACTAAACATGAGCTTGTAGCCCATCACGTGAGGGAGCTTGGAGCGGTGTCTACTTTACAACACACACAGGGATCATGGGGAACAAAAGTAGCCACCCTCCAGGAGAAAGGACAGTGTCTGCAACAATTCAGAGATTTGAGGATCTACAGTATATCTGGCTGGGTCCCATTGGCGTGTCATAGCTTTACTTCCTGTGAAACAGACATTACAGGAAGTGAAAAAATCTGTACAAAATTAGGGGAATTCCAAGGTTATCACTGGAACAACAATCCCCCGTTGAAGATTTCCCCTTCCTGTTCTGTAAAGTTTTTTTGATTTTTAAAAAAAAATAACTTTCTGTTGTGGTGATAATGGTCACCAGGACAAATAAAGGGGTTAATCTTCCCAGCATGGACACGGGACTACAATAAAAAAAATTGACAAGGGATCTAACCCTTCACTCTCTATCCAATACTCCAAAAACCCAAAAATTTACCTATACATATACTTTTTAAAGGGACTTGTCATTTCGGAGCAATCCACATAGGCCTTTATGCCTTCAGACATTCTTACCCAGCTGAGCTCTGCTGAACATTGGTACCGCACAAAGGAAGATGACTACAAAATAGATTATTTTAGAAAATCGCTACCGCCAATATGGACAAACAAACTTTTTTTTTTCCCCCCACATATCTGTGAAAATTATATTAAGTTGCTCACTATAAAGAACCTAATTCTTTTTTGCACAGAAACCATTTCGCTGTGACAAGCCGGGGTGCGGGAAGATGTTTTTCCAAAAATCTAAACTACAGTGTCACTTGCAAAAGCATCTGGGTGTGAAGAAGTATATGTAAGTAAGACCCTAGACCCTTTTTCTGTGTAAGAATAAATCGGCCATCAATGAATGCAATGACATGAATTGTACATTTTTTTTAATTTTAGTTGCTCAGCTTCTGAATGTCGAGCTGCTTTTCTAACTAAACGGAGGTTGAAATATCACCAGCAGTGCAAACATGGAAATACTGGCCCTCTAACGGTGGGTATGATGGGCCTGCCTGAGAAATGAACATCTGTCTTTTATAGTGGGATTGCCTTGAGCAACTGTCGGGCTATTCAAGCAGAGGAACAAGATCAGCTGGTTCAGAGTTTGAGAAAACTTTCATATGGCTTTAAACTTTCACTTGTCTTAATGTCACTTCATCCAGGATATTTCAGGATAAAGGCCTTAACAATAGTCTGTTGCTATTTTGAATGGAAAAACTAGCATTGCCATGCTTGGGGTTTGACCGGTGGTGGGGAAAGTGTATCTGACTGTCTGGGCTGTGTAACTTGTAGGCCCTCTGCTAAGATCTGGATTAAGATCATAGGCAGGCTAATGGCTTTGGAACCCCCAAGCCTCTTGCCTTATGTGAACCTGTCTTCCTCTTCAAAGAAATCTTCTATATAACTATTTAATCTTTCTTTCCTTTCCCATTTCTTTTTCTTTTTCCCTCACTTCACCTCACTCCCGTAAATGGCAAGCGCTTCTACCTTTGGTATCCTCCCATAGACTGTTGGTCCGTCTACCAACAATTATCTTGATTTCTGGGTGATCACACTGCAGGGGTGCCTTTTTACTTTTGCCTAGTGGCTGCCTGTAGAAAAAATTGCATGTGATAGCTGACTCATCTAGCAAAGATATTTTCCTTCATAATTACATGCGTTTACAAAACAAAGCGGAAGCCATGATGCCCAGAAATGTAAAAGATTAAAATATATTGATAAGTTTAGAATTAAACCAAGTCCTTACATTATTTTACATACCCCAGTATGTAGGGGTATTAGGTATATCTTGTGTATGCATGTGTGGGGGGTCTTCATTTTTGAGCTTTATTAATGTCACAAGGGGACTGATGTATATACTTTTTGGGGGCTATTGGATATCAGACTGAGGTATCCGGGTCTACTTAACAGGCCGTGGCACTAGAGTTCTGACAGCCCCAACCAAAAGTGACTACTGCCTGCTATCTGCTGACTTTGGGTCACAGGAGTACATTAGTAAATATACTCATGTGACCCCAAAAAAAGACTAGAGCCAAAAAAGGGTTTGGCTTTAGTTCTTGTAACTGGATACTAATTTCCATTAAATACCTGGGCATATACCTACCCAAGTATCTCTTCTAAACATTTAACTTTAACTTCCCTCCCCTTATGCAGCACATTCCTAATTCCTTCTAGGTGTTGGCACAAGGATGAGCAGGTGTAATCTCAAACAAAATATCTTGTCAGACGTTATGGTAAATGCAAGCATTTTGGGGCTCAGTGCTCAATAAGTCTTTGGCTGGCTTAGTGGGGGTTTTTTTTTTCTTATTTCGCTTTTCAAATTTTAACATTTTAAACATTTCAGGGCCATTCACCCCGCAAATATTTGAACCTTTTTTTTTTGTTTTTTTTTTTTTGTGGAATTATTATTTAATGTTCTGCTTATAATGTCACATTATTGGCACTAGATGGCCTAAAGGAGCATAGGAAATATTTATTTTTCATGCTCCTCAGCTCCATGTGGTGAATGTAGAAAGTTATTGAATCTGTAGATGTCCTTAGCTTTGCACACCTTTAACTATATAGAATAGTCCCGTGAAGTTCGACATTTATCACCTTATTTGCCTTGCAGTGCTCAGTTTCTGGATGTTTCAAAACCTTTCACAAGAAGAAAGCTTTAAAAAATCACCTGTCAGAGCACAAAGTAGAGCCTCGCTTTGCGTGAGTATATTCTACCCATAATCTAATTTTTTTTTGTTTCCTTGTAACATGGTGCTATAATATCTTATTGATGTTTAACATCAGCTACCCTTCTGCTCTTCCCCGCCTGTATCGACAAAGGGAGCGGACATTGGAGGGGACACGGTACAGACTGCTGCAGCTGGCGCTTAGCAGGGAGAAGAGACTAGCTGTCGGCCAACGCTGCTGTGATTTCGCCACCTCCCACAATAGCCAGCCTGCTATTGGCTCTTTCAAATTGCAATAGCCGATGGCAGGCTGGCTTTTGCACCCACCCACTACCTGCTATATTTATATAAAGCTTCCGTCTGCAGAATTTTGCCGCTGGCAGCTGTCATTCCTTGGCTGAAGCTATTCAAGTGCCATGTGCTTACAATAGTTATTGAAGAAAAAATGTAAAAAAGGTGGAAAAGTAATTCGGCCTGACAAATTCTGCTGCGGGAGGTGTTGCGGTGCCATTCATTTCAATAGCACCCTAAACACTCCTCCCCCGCATTGTGATTGCGTGCACTAGAACACACGGCAGCGTTCCAGTGCAATTTGAAAAAATTGTGCATGCCGTTTTATTCTGAATTCAACTTTGTAACACTCCATTTGTGTATTTTATTTTAAGGATGGTCCCTTTTTTTTTTTTTTACACTTGCCTTTATTGCTGTCACATAGGGGGATTGTTATCCCCCTATGTGATAGCCAATATAAATGATGGGTCATCTTTTTTTTAATCAAATCAACTTTATTGTACATATGCATGGTACAAGGGTATAAGGAGGCATTCGCCTCAACAGCAGGGCAACATCCCCAACACAGAACTGGGGTAGAGGATACATACATACATGGATCACAATGCACATGGTATGTAGATGGGGTAATTGCTTGGCTCAGCGAGATAATCAGCAGACTGCCACAGTGACCTTCCACAGTATTATACGAGCAATAGGGTGTGTATAGAGAGCGTAGGCGGCACGAGATAGAGTCAAACAAAAAACATATCATAGGCCTCTGTGGCTTCTTGTACCATAACGATTAATCGGGAGAATCGCACTCTAGTTAAGCGTTCCGTAGCACGTGGGGGCATACCGGAAGGATCGTGCGTGTGTTTAACGCCAATGGGGGATGTAGGTAAGGGAGGTATAGGATAGGGTCTGAGGGACGAGGAGGTAGGGTGGGGTAGAAAAAGAAAGGGGAGAAATGAGAAGAGGAGGAGGAGGAAAGGCCAGCAGGGAAGAGCCAGAGGGGGATAAGGAGCAGCAAAGGTAGAAGTGGGTCAGGCGCCCAGGATCTGGGTCTCCAGCAGCATTCAGGGGGGCGCCTCAAGCATGGCCCGGTGGTAAGTCTCTGTGTCCCGAAAAGAGGCCCAGGGTCTCCAAGTAGACCGGAAGAGCTCCTCAGTATTCCGGATTGTGGAGGTTAAATCCTCCATCAAATATGTCTCGTCCACCTTGGTGAACCATAACTTGAGGGTGGGGCAGCTGGATTGCTTCCACAACAGGGGAATGCACTGGCGAGCAGCGTTCAGAAGGTGCCTAGACAGTGATTTTTTGTATTTCCCAGTGGACAGAGTACTTAAGTGTAGCAAGCAAGCCGCGGGGTTGTCTGTCAAGTCCACCATCACCAGATCCTTCAGGACAGCGATCACCCCCCGCCAGAAAGGGAGCAGTGGTGGGCAGGACCAGAATGTGTGAAATAGCGTGCCTGGGGCGTTGTGGCATCTCCAGCACATGGCCGAGACTTGAGGGTACATGGCATGGAGGACTGTGGGGACCCTATACCATCGGGAGACTATTTTATAGCCTAGTTCCTGGGTTCTAGAGGCGATGGAACAGTGATGGGCTAAGTGTAGTATATGGTCCTTCTGGGCCGGTGTGAAGGAGGTGCCGAGGTCGCTTTCCCATTTGGCCAAGAATGTTGGATAGGTGTCCGGGGGAGGTTATATCAACAGAGAGTATAGAGAGGAAATAGCATGGAGAGTGGGTGTCTCCTCCTTGCAGATCTGTTTGAACGGTGTCAAGGGTCTAGAGAGCCGCTGGTGGTTGGGTATGGAAAGGAGAAAATGCCGCAGTTGGAGAGCGCACCAACGGTCCAGAGGGGGTTCCGTCAGGCAGCTAAGTTCGCTAGCTGATAGCCATCGGCCAGATAAGAGTAGGTTGCATACCCTGAACTTGTTGGCTTCTCGAAGGCAGCGGAAGCGAGAATCGTTGATGCCAGGCGAAAAGTCGGGATCACCAATAACTGGGATCAAAGGCGACGGAAATGGGGAGATATCTGTGGAGCGAAATAGCGACCTAGCTAACAGGAGTGTGGGCGCGATGGTAGGGTGTGAGCGTGTGGTGGGAGGAAGGGGTGCGGAGAGACAGGGTAATCCAGCCAGGGCCGGACTGGTGTCGTCCTCTTCCATGCGTACCCACTGCTTAGTAGTCCTATGGCAACACCAGTCCCATATGCGTGCAAGGTGGGTCGCCCTGTGGTATTTGGCCAGGTCCGGAAGCCCTATACCTCCCTTGTTCTTAGGAAGGGTGGTGGTACAGTATCGAATTCTAGAAGGGGCGTAGGACCAAAGAAAAGCTGTAAACATTTGGCGCAGACGACGGAAGAATAGTGGCGGGATACGAATCGGGAGGGCTTGGAACAGGTAAAGGACCCTGGGTAAGGTAGTCATTTTAAGGGCATTACAACGGCCAAACCAGGAGAGTGACAGTGAGTGCCAGGACAGGAGGTCTTGCTTGATCTTCTGAAGCAGGGGGGCAAAGTTAAGCTCGTATGATCACGCGGGGTCCGCTGCTATAAGAGTACCCAAGTATGGCAGGGCATCCGAAGCCCAGGCAAAGGGGAAGGAGGATCGCAGACGAGCCACGTCCGCTTGAGGGAGGGAAACATTGAGGGCAGCAGATTTGGAAAAATGTATTTTGAAGTTTGAGATGGCGGCGTAGCGGTCCATTTCCCGCAGAAGGACCGGGAGGGATGAAGAAGGGTCCGAAATAAAGAAAATCAGGTCGTCCGCGAAGGCGGCTACTCTATGCTCGCTGGAACGTTTTATCAGGCATTGGAAGTCGGGGAGAGATCGCACGCGGCAAAGGAACGGTTCCAGAGTAAGGATGAATATGAGTGGGGAGAGGGGGCATCCCTGCCTTGTGCCGTTAGAGATAAATGAAAAATCGGAGCGTGCCTCGTTCACGCGGACGGCGGCCGACGGGGACGAGTATAACGCAGAAATGCACCATATCATGCCGGGACCTAGGCCTATGTGGTGAAGGGTGGCGTGGAGGAGGCGCCACTCCACCACTCCACCCTATCGAACGCCTTCTCTGCATCGGTGGACAGCAGCAGCAAGGGTGAAGGGGTGGAGCGGGCATGGTGTATCACGTTAAGCACTCTGGTGGTATTGTCCCTAGGCTCCCGTCCCGGAACGAAACCCGCCTGGTCTAAGTGCACAAGGCCAGGGATGTGAGGGATGAGTCTGTTGGCCAGGATTTTGGCAAAGATCTTCAGATCCAGGTTGAGGAGAGCAATGGGGCGGTAGCTGCTACATTGAGACGGGTCCTTACCAGGTTTGGGTATGACCGCGATGTGGGCGCGAAGGGAATCTCTGGGTAGAGAAGAACCCGTCAGGAGGGAGTTGTATGCCTCCAGAAAGTGGGATGAGAGAATGTGAGAAAAGGATTTGTAATAGGGCAGTGTATAGCCGTCAGGGCCAGGCGCCTTGCCCGATTTAGCCTGTTTGAGTGCCAGGTCGAATTCTGCTTGGGAAATTGGCGCTTCCAGCTGGTCCCTCGTCTCAAGTGGTAAGGTGGGCATCCCAGATTCACTGAGATAATGTGTCAGAGTGTGTCAGAAGAGGGGGAAGCATCCGAGCCTGCTCTAAGATTGTACAGTGCGTTATAGAAATGCTGAAATTCCTTGGCCATGTCAGCAGACGATGTCAGTTTCGTGCCCGAGCTAGACATAATGTGGGGTATGAATGTTGTCTGTCGAGAGCCCCGCAGGGCCGAAGCCAAGCATCTCCCCGGCTTGTTGGAAAGCTCGTATAAAGTACGACGGCCTGACAAGAGGCCTTTACGGACTTTGGAGAGGAGGAGGTCATTAAGCTCCATTCTGAGTAGGGTCAGTTCCCTGAGATGGGTAACCGCCAGAGATTTTTTGTGTGCAGTTTCCAGAATGTGGAGTCTGGCAAAGAGTTGGGCCACCCTCACTGTCTCCTCCCGTTTCCTCCGGGCACCGTGCCGGATCAAGACGCCCCTGACGACGCATTTGTGCGCCACCCATACCACTGAGGGTTCCATAGATGCCGAGGAGTTCTCGGAGAAATAAGAGCAGATCGTGTTCTCTATCTCGGAGCGTATCCCCGGGTCCTGTAATAGTGACTCGTTTAGGTGCCACGAGGGGCTTTTAGGGACAAAGGGGAGGAGGTCTAGCGCCATGTGAACTGGTGCGTGGTCAGAGAACAAAATATCGCCTATCGATGCATCGGAGACCAGAGAGAGATCCTTGTGTCGGAGGAAGAAGTAGTCAAGGCGTGAATACGTGTTGTGGGCAGAGGAGTAAAACGTGAAGTCTTTGACTTGTGGATGCAAAGTGCGCCAGACATCAGTCAGCTGCAGGAGGTGTAGCTCGGATTTAAGTTTCTTTAGGTGGGAATAGGGGAGGTGGGAGGCCGTTCTAGATACGTCCAGTAGGGGGTCGAGGGCAAAATTGAAGTCACCACCTACAATTAGCAGGCCCTCTTCAAACTCCAGGAGGGACGGTAGCGTCCGTTGGAGGAAGGATACCTGATCTGAATTGGGGAGGTACAGGTTTACAAGTGTAACCAGGGTGTCGCCAATTAGGCCCTTCACGAAGAGGAATCTACCCTCTGGGTCAATCCTGAGGTCCCTAAACGTCCATGCCACCGATCTGGACAGCAGAATGCTCACCCCTTTGGACCTGGCAATGGGGGACGGACAGTGATAAGAGGTCGGGAAGTCCCTGTTCTTGAGTCTAGGCACCTTGTCAACTTTAAAGTGTGCTAGAGATTGATATCCGTTCTCCACTGCTAATGCTTTAATATGCAATACATTTCATAGTACTACTGGGTTTTATAAACTGTGTAAAGCTAGAACTGTCTTTGAATATAAAAAATTGCTGGCAACCATGGTAAAGCTTGGAATCATGATTGCTTATGGCACCATTTGGTGAAATTTTGGATTGTTCTGTAGTCTCATAGAATGGTGTCAAATTTAGGATCCTTTCTATTCTTGCTGTTAGGGGAGGTTTTGAGTCAGATGTGTATTCTCATTATAACTAGAAATCTCAGTGCCTGTAATTTGTCTAGTTTTTCGCTCTCCTCCTTTTCTTGATTTGCAGTTGTGATCAAGCAGGTTGTGAATGGAAAGGTCCTACTAGTGCAAGTCTTACAGCCCATCGCCGACGCCATGCAGGTAAGTGTTAAAGCCAAACTCCAAGAAAAAATAACTTTCACATCATACTAGTTGTGTAAAATGAAAAAGCTGTTTGTGTGGAGGACCAATAAAAAGTATAAAACTTGTGCCTTGCAGAATGACGTCTCCTGCACAGAACGCGGAGCTTCGGCACTGAGGGGAGTGAGATGCGACTGAAGTGCTTTTGTCGCATTACCCGCCCCCAACTTTCTACTTGACCATTCCCAAAAAGTGTTCTTTTTTTTCCCCAAAGAATTTAAGCCATTCTGTGATTTGGAGGAGTGATGTATTTTGGTTTTGTGCTGCCCTAGACGAGACCTAGGCCCAATCTAAATTTTCCCCACCCTGTTCTTCCTGTTTAAGACACTTTGCATAACCTGTCAGAAGTTGCATGACACCTCCTATACTGCACTCCCTCCCAAGTGTCCCTGCCTCCCTATGTGCAGAGCAGGCATGTGTCAGAGTCCCGCCGGCTAACTACAACTGCCGCTGCCAACTCCTATCTCACCGTGTCACTTCCGAACACAGAGCCGCCTCTTCCTTCACTGCAACATCACCTCTGCTTCTGTGCCCGGCTACCTGCACCTCATAGCTAGTCTCACCCCTCCCCTTCTACTTCTGTGCCTGGTACCTGCCCTGGTACCTGCCCTCCCCCCTCTCCACAGGCAGGCTGCATGTGACATGGAGGCCTGGAGATTACACTATTTGCTGGCTATTGTAAACATGCTGTGAGATGTTCGTAGTGGAAAGTGCCGCCCAAGGCAAATGCCTTGTGGTAAATATGCCCCTGGTCACATCCCAAACTTTCATCTCTAATCACAGAATGCCATGTACTCTCTGGGGAAAAAAATACAAGGTATTTTGTGAATAAGCAAGTAGTGAGGAGGGGGCAGGTGATGCGACCAGAGCATTTCACTTCACTGCTTAAGTTGCATCTCTCACTCCCCTGGGAAGCCTGGTGTTGTGTAGTAGCCAGTATGCTGCAAGAACAGGGTTTTTCTTTTGTTTGGTTTTGAAGGGCCCTACATATGAGAGCTTGCAATCTAAAAGAGAGGAGGAAGTGACACAAAAGGCATTCACCTGTGTGATGAGCTGATTAGGGATGGGGGGGGGTTAGATAAGTACTGTTTTTGGGGAAGGCTTGGATGGGCTTGAAGAGATGAGCTTTCAGGGATTGCCTCAGACGATGGAATAGGAGCTGGCCAGACAGATTAGGGAAGGGAGTTTCAGTAGCTTGCATGTGGTGTTATCCATCCAATTAATAAGGCATTCTTGTGCACAACATTGCATAGGTTCTTTTGCTCCTTAACTACTTCCCTACTGCCATATTTGTGTGGGGTTTTGTTTTTAAAAAAAAAAACCATCCGAATGATCTAACACCTGATCATTCTGTGTATCAAGCCGTACATGAGACTGTACCAAGCCCATTTGCGTAGCTTAGTACAGTGTAATCGTGGTTATGACCAATCACAGCAGTCACATGGTACTGTTTACAGTGAAGATGCCTCCCCTTCATGCTACTACAGAGGAAGGAGAGGAATGGTAGTAAATGGAATCAATAAAGAGTCACAGTAGCAGCTGCGATTTTATTCATTCGTTTTCATGGACTACATTTCTCCGGTACCACTCCTAAACTGCTGATCTCCAGCCTATCTCTGTATTGTGACCTGAATAATAAACCCTTGAATTAAACTTGGTTTTTTTTCACAGGTAAAATATTATAGTGTGTGTGTTGGCAGAAATGTAAAAGCTGCATTGGTCCATAGGGGTGTATGCAGGTGTGAGTTAACAAGCGTTTGAAAAAAGAAAAAGGTACCCAATGAGGAGAGCAGGAAAAGGAGCAATTCTCGCTTGTGTGAAATAAATGGTGACTCCATATGAGGGGAGAAATGGTTATGCTATGCCAATACCAATGCCATTTCTTGATATGGTGCCTTCACAGGATACCGCTGCCCTTTCCCAGGCTGTCAAGCTACATCTCCAACTTGGAGCACTCTACAGAAACACAGAAAACAACATCCTTGTAAGTAATGAATGTGGTGGGTTTGTTTTCTGTTTTTTATTTTTGTCACCTGTTCTGTTAGGACTATATTCTAAACACCTAATTGGTTATGTCTGTAGCATTGCTGTATTGCCATGGGTATGAGTATCAAATGTGTCTACAGAACTCGTGATCATCCAGTATTCATGTTTTATACCCTGTTTCCCCAAAAGTAAGACGTAGTACTATTTTTCAAGATTCCTGTAATACAAGACCTACCCCGAAAATAAGACCTAGTTGGGTGGTGGCATGTGCAGTGACAGGGAGCACTACAGTACCATAATGCAGCAACTGCTGTCCCCCTGAAATCACTGCTTAATGTAATGGTACTGTACTGTAATGTGTACCGGTAAATGGTACCGTACTTTACTGCACTGTCCACTGGCTGATGTCCGCACTGCTGCACCGCTGGTACCACTGTCCCTGATGGCAAAGGAAGCCGTCGCTGTAGAAAGCAAGGCTGCAGTGGCGGAGGGAGCAGAGCCACATTAGCCGATACTTCCTCTATAGCGCCAGCTCCTGTCACAGGTGGAGTGATACCAGATGCACTCCGCCTGTAAAAGTGAAAGAAAGGGTCAGCTTTACCGATACTGACCAGTAGGAAAAGAAAGAAAGCGCAACAGTATTATTCTCATACTTACCATACCAAAAAAATAAGACATCCCCTGAAAATAAGACCTAGTGTTTTTTGGGGTACAAAAAAATAAGGCAGTGTCTTATTTTTGGGGAAACGCGGTAGTAGGGAAGTGGCACAACCAAGTCTTGGAAGCCAGCAGGTGAAACTACCCAAGTAGCCAATTCATATCTAGACATTCCATAGGTGAAACATAGGTGAAACATTGCAGAAGGTAAAAACAAGGGGGGACATGTATCACTTTGGCCACATAATCAGTGTCTTAACTGTTGCATCCCTAATTTCTAGTGCATATAGAGACAGATTTATTGGCCTAGTTTGTAAATGCCTTCGTAAGGGCTAGTTCACACCAGCCACAGTGTGTTCTGGCCAGAACGCACTGGATCGCATTGCGGCCGGGTCACTTTGTTGTGGGGCATGAGTGGGCACGGTGCATTGACGTGACTGGCACCGCGGCTACACCCTCCAGCCGCAACGTGATCAGCTGAATGGGAACACGTGGCACATCAATGCCTGTGATCCGGTCAGAAAAATGGTGTTGGCAGCATTTTTTCCTGGCCAGACCGCAGGCATTGACGTGCCTTGCATTCCTGTACAGCAGATCGCATTGCGGCCGATGGGCCTGGCTGCGGTGCCATTCACGTCAATGCACCCGCCCCACATTCACGTCCTCCCGCCCCACAACAAAGTGAGCTGGCCGCGATGCGATCCAGTGCGTTCCAGCCAGAATCGAGCTGGACCACACTGGCTGGTGTGAACTTGCCCTACAGAGATTGGTCTCTCAAATTGTGGCAAACTTGCAGGGATTCGCCTAGATGACAGCTGACCCTCCTGTATGACAGCTGAATAGCCTTGAGATGGTTCGCTAACTTGAAGGCATGAAGTTAAATTATCCTTGATACCTTAAAGTTCAGGAGGATTTCTAGGATGTGTGCCAGTTTGCAGGGTTTTCAATGTTGCAAATGCTGGATGCAATTACTGCACAGTTGAGAAATTATGCAAAATGTCACAAAACGCACAGTGGGTTGCGAACATGAATGTCTCGAACACTGGATGGAAAACCGAAAACTTTGCAATTAGCATGACATTTTGGTTTTTAAAGGGGGGGGGGGGGGGGTTTTTTTTTTTTTTTCCCCCATAAAATTTTTA